ACGAAGGAAAAGGACGAACGTGCGAATGAACGAAGTGAAGGGAAATGTGTAGTGGTATTTAGGACCCACCGAAGAACGCGCGAGACAATGTGTAAAGCGAAAAAAAAATAAAAATAATAAATAAAAAAAAACGAAATTAGAGTAGCTATCAAAGGTTGTGAAATGGAATTTTTTCGAGAATCATCATCATTATCCCTTTCCCTTTCTCTTCTCCTCGGTCCGAGATGCAGCGGGAACGGTGAACGGCAATGAACGGAGATGATGAACGAGACGATACGGCGGCGGGGGAAGGGCCGTTCAGCGTTGGGGGCAACAACAATGCTTAACTGGCGGCCCTTCGCGGCTTTGGGTGACTCCTTAATGATGTTTGTGTAGAATTCGGAATCGCGGGCAGGGGGAGGGGGAGGGGAGGGGAGGGGAGGGAGCGGGAAAGAGACTGGAGAAAGGAGGGGTGGAGGGAGGGAGGGGGGAGGGGGAGGGGAGGGGAAGAGAACTGGAGAAAGGAGGGGGGGGAGAGGGTGAGGGGGAGGGGTGGGGGGGGGGGGAAGACTGGAGAAAGGAGGGGTGGGAGATAGATATGAAGGGATAGGGGTGGGGGATAAAGAGTTTGAGGGAGGAGGAGTGGGGAATAAAATAACGGAACGAAAAGGAAGGGGAAAGTAGAGTATGGAAGAGCAGAGGAACGGCGGAGAGGCGATGGGAGCGAACGGGAGAAGGGAGGGAGAGGAGAGAGAGAGGGGAGAGAGAGAGGAAGAGGAGAAGAGGGGAGAGAAGGAGAGAGAGAGAGAGAGGAAGAGGAGAGAGAGAGAGAGAGGGGAAGAGGAGAGAGAGAGAGAGAGGAAGAGGGAGATGAGGAGAGGAGAGAGGGGAGTGTACCGACGAGTGTGCCGCGAGTGTGACACGATGCGCTGTTTTGCTGCTGTTGTTGTTTCGCGTTTCGTCTTGCGTCACGTTGCTGGCGTCTGTTTTCCTTCTGCTGCGCCCTCTCTCTCCTCCGGTTTCGGCGGAGCTCTCTTGGCGGGGAGAGTGGTGGGTGAGAGGGGGGGGGTGTGAGTGGGTGGGTGAGGGTGGTGGGTGGAGGGGGATGTTGGTGAGTAGGTGAGAGGGGGAGGGATGGGAGTGGGTGTGGGGGGTTAGTGAGTGGGTGGAGGGGTGGATGGTTAGTGAGTGGGTGGGTGGGGGTAGGGGAGGAATGAGGAGGATTGGGGTTTGGGAGGGGATATGGAGTGGCGAGGATGAGGTGGGGTGCGTAAAGTGGGTGGGTGAGGGGGTTGGTGAGTGAGTGGTTGGGGGGAATGGTTGGTGGATGGTTAGCGAGATGATTGGGGGGGGGTTTAGGGAGTGAGTGGGGGTTAGTTGTTAGTTGGTGGGTGGGCTGGGGACGTAGGTGTGGCGAGTAGGCGTGTGGCTGGATGGGGCTAAGGGTACGAGTGAGTGGGCGGATGAGAGAGAGAGAGCGACCGCGTGTGTCATTTCGTGCATAATTCCATTTCTTTCGTTTCCCCGGAGGTTCAATGATTGTATTTTCTTTCCCTTTTTCTTTCCCCTTTTTTCACGAGGTGATTTAATCCTCGCTCTCTCTCTCTGTCTCTCTCTGCTCTCTCCTCTCTCTCTCTCTCTTCTCTCTCTCTCTCTCTCTCTCTCTCGTCTCTCTCTTTTTTCTGTCTTTCTCCTCTCTCTCCTCTCTCTCGCTCTCTCATCTCCCTCCTCCTCCCTCCCTCTCCTCTCTCTCTCTCTCTCTCTCTCTCTCTCTCTCTCTCCTCCCTTCCCTCCCTCCCTCCCTCCCTCCCTCTCCTCCCTCCCTCTCCCTCCCTTCCTCCCTCCCTCTCCCTCCCTCTCCCTCCCTCCCCCCCCCCACCCCGCGCAAATTCCATCCGTTTCCTCTTGGCATTTACCGGCGGGGACGAAGGCGCGCACACGGGTTAATTTCGAGGTCGAGCGGCGAACATGTCGAAACGTGTTTGGACCTGATCGACAACAGCCTGCAGGAAGGCGTGAGGCGATGGCGTGATGGAAAGGGGAAGGGGAAAATAAAGGAAATTTGGGTTGTAACACACATACGTTTGAGAGAAGGGAGGGGGGGAGGGGAGGGGAGGGGAGGGAGGGAAGGGGAGGGGAGGGGAGGGGAGGGGGATTAACAATAAGCTAGACACGCACAGCACGCACGCACGCACAAAACGCACCGGCCCCCCAACAAAACACACGTACCGCACACGCACACGCACACGCACACGCACACGCACACACACACCACACACACACACACACACACACAACACACATACACACACCACACACACACAACACATGTTTTTTTAGACCTTTTATGTTTTTTTAAATCCCTTTAGAATATTTAATACTTGTAAATATTCTTATATTAATATATTTTTTAAAGCGCGTGATATTATTCTTTTATGATATAAGCTGATAGTACCATAAACTTGTATGTTACATATAAAACAGTATTCCTAAGTGTACAGATCTTAATAACTGCACAACT